AAGAAAGTTAAAGTGACTATTGTGTATTTTGTAAGAAATTTTAAAGAAAGCAATATTTTCACAGTTCGTAAGTGTTTGTTTGTTTTTAATTATGCACAAAGCTACACAAGGGCTATCTGTGCTCTGCCCACCACGGGTATCGAAACCCGGTTTCTAGCGTTGTAAGTCCGCGGACATACCGCTGTGCCACTGGGGGGCGTTCGTAAGTGAAGACAATAGAAGCAGTGTATCTATATATACATATATTGTATCATTTTTGGTAGATAAATATAATCACTCTATTTTAGTAAGGATTGAAAGTCACTGCAAGAACGTATTTAAATACGATATAATTATATTAAGAGTTTTAGTATAACTTTTGTAGGAATGTGTTTAATTACTAAGTTATTTTGTTAAATGTAGATTACATACTATTGGTCAAAACGCTATAACGCTCGAGGATTAAAAGGGAATATAATACAATGTGGGATTATTGCATAAAGTAATGGCATTAGTTTCTATTACTGCTTGTAGTTCAAAGCGTATTTACGTTTAGACACTGTAATCATACAATCATTTTATAACACCAGAAATTGTGAAAATGTCGGTATATATTAAAGAGATTGTGTCATAAAGTCGTATAATTGATCAATTAACATATTGGTGAGATAAGCATATGTGGGTTGAATTTATAAATTGAACTGCTTGAATGTGTCATTGAACTTTACATGTTACAAGTTCCTACCAGCCTCCCTCCTCCAGTGGCTCAACGGTAAATCTGAGGGTTCACACCGCTAAAAACCGGGTTTTGATATTCTTTGTGGGCACAGCACAAGTAACCTATTTTGTAGCTTTGAGCTTAAGAATAAGCAAACAAACAGTTCCTACCAAAGATAACACAAGACAATGGAAAATTAAAATATATATATACGACATCAAAAGTAACTTTTTTAAAACGGTGTTTCGAGAAGTCACTTCTTTTAGGTTTAACAACATCTTTGAAATTAATAAAATAAAAGAAAGTTTACACAGATTCAAAGTGTGTGTAAAAAGAACGAAAGATGACTATGTTACCTCAAATGTGTGAATATCTCATTTAAGTGAAATGCAGAAACGTAAAACGAACAATAATTTAAACAAAGTTTTCTTTCGTTTTCTGACAGGTGTCGTAAGATTACATGTATCTTAAACACAATATTTCAAGTCAAATGTTATACACGAAATGGTGAACTCAAGCCTGCAGACCAACAAAGTGTTCTTTCGTTTTCTGACAGGTGTCGTAAGATTACATGTATCTTAAACACAATATTTCAAGTCAAATGTTATACACGAAATGGTGAACTCAAGCCTGCAGACCAACAAAGTGTTCTTTCGTTTTCTGACAGGTGTCGTAAGATTACATGTATCTTAAACACAATATTTCAAGTCAAATGTTATTCACGAAATGGTGAACTCAAGCCTGCAGACCAACAAAGTGTTCTTTCGTTTTCTAACAGGTGTCATAAGACTACTTATATCCCAAATACAAGATTTCAAGTTAAAGATGGTAAGCTTATTCCTGCAGATCAACAATTTTCTTTCGTTTTCTGACAGAATGTGTCATAAGACTTCTCATTTCTTAAATATAGGATTTCAGATTAAATGTGATACACGAGATGATAAGTTCAAGCCTGTAGACCAAACAATACGTTCTTTCGTTTTTTGATAGGTGTCATAATTCTACTTATATCTTATATATACGATATCAAGTAAAATATGATACACGAAATGGTGAGCTCAAGCCTGCCTACCAACCAGTACTGTGTCTGTAGTTTCTCCCGTGCTGCATCTGATTTCACTTCAGGAATTATCTATTGTTGTTTGTAATTAAGCACGAAGCTACACAATGGGCTATCTGTGTTCTGCACACCACGGGTATCGAAACCCGGATTCTAGCGTTGTAAGTCCGTAGACATACCGCTGTGCTAATTTGGGGGGGGGGATTATCTAAAAAAACTACTAAATAGATGTTTACGGTAACTTCTGTTTATTAAAAAATGCCTTCCTAACAATAAATAAAATATATTGGAACAAACTGTCCCAAAATCTATGATTAACTAAATCCAAATTGTATCTTATTCAATAAATGTTGTAGTAAATGATGTCCGGCGAAAAAATTAAAATTGGTAAAAGTATCTACTTTGAGATCCTACGTTATAATATGATATATAGCGATAGGAAAACTGAACTGGGGATATTAGTAGTTAAAATAGCAGATTTAACTGATGTATTGAAAGCCAAAATTTAAAGAAATTGAGAGTCAATCAGTAAGAACATTGGGTGCAGTTTTTATTCAGTTCAAGGATAATCTGAACAGCTTTTGTAAAACTATGCAAGGATACTATATCTTTAACACAATGGCAACAATGATTTACAGCTGGTGGGCAAGTGTAATGTAATCGGCAAACACTGCTCAACCCAACATGTACGTTTTTTTCAAATAAGTAAAATATGATAAATAATAATAATTAAGAACTGTGTCAAACTGAAATGAATAACTAACGTAAAAACCATACACTATAAACAGAAACATATCTATCGACACACACACACATATATACATATATATACAGAGAGAAAGAGATAGATAGATATCAACAACCAGTCACACGGTGGTGAAAGTAAAATGGATAAAATTAGAAAGCGAAATTACTGTTATTTTATTAACTATTTAATACTTCATACTATACTTATATATAAAATATTCTTTATACTATACTTTTGCTGAGCACGCGAATGTAATCTACCAGTTTGGGCAGTATACGTCAACATTAATAGCACAGTCTGCTGCCTCAAGTGTATGCAAAAACGAGTGTAATTGTAGTTAGGTGAAAATGGTAAATTCACACTTGTATAAGTGCCACAATATTTAATGGCTCGAGGAACTGATGATTTTAAGGTGTGGTGAACATTTAACTGACAAAATATTCATGAGAAATGAAGTGAGTATGAGACGGAAACAGAAGCGAAAGAGAACTCGTCTCAGACCACAGTCAAATGGAATAAAGATTATATAACAAGCCAATGCCAACATTGGAGTAGATCGCTCTTCGAAGTTGTTTTTTTTTTTTTGTTGTTGTTGTTGTTTCTTGACTTGCCGGTCGAGTATGGCCCAGAGGTTTTCGATGGGGTTCATGTCAGGAGATTGGCTCGGCCAGGGCAACTTCTGGATACCATTTTCTTCCTGCCACTTTTGGGTGTTTCTAGCAGTGTGACATGGTGCTCCATCTTCCTTGAACAACATTGTGTTCTTGTCCACAAAACCCGAGGAATAAAGTGACAAGAGTCCTTCCTCCAATATTTCGACGTATTTCGCAAAATTTATGTTGCCAACGCACTCCACTAAGCTCGAGCTCCTACCAACCCAAACAGCTCCCCGAACCATCACGCTGAAACCACCATGCTTCACAGTTGGCTGCAATCTGTTGAGTCAAAACTCTTGATGAGGCATTCTCCAGA